ACAGTGCCAAAAATGGCTCTTACAAAAATTCCCTAAACTTAGCAAATTAATATCATAGTTCTCTAAACACCTAGACTTTGTCAGAAATACTCACGGGTAAGGAAACATACCATTTGGCTATGGAGCTCATTTAATTGGGTAAAGAATAAAATGGTCAGGATCAAAGTTGCTTCTCCTAAAGGACTTATTCAGGTGGGGTGGATGATTTATGAAATTACTCAATGGGTGACTAATGCCTTCATCCTCTCAACAACTAGATTATAGTGCAAGCAATTTAAGCCTAAACACTTCGAAGATGTCTTAAAAGCATAGTCAAAACGCTAGCCAGCTCACAAACACACAATTTAAAGAAAAATTTTCAAAAATTTTGACATGACTTTTCTACGAATATACAACTAACACCTGCGCATGCTAACTCTAATAATCACATGTAACAACTACTGTCCGAATGCCCAATTCATTCCCCCACACTTAAAATTTGGCATCGCCCTCGATGACCAAAAATGCACTATGCACAAGGGTATAAAGATGATAGGGTCACGCGTGCTCAACTTAACTCAAGTAAACATTTACAAACAGGCGATTAAAAGAGTCGCAGAAACTTCCCCAAGGCGCTGGTCGGTGCATAACTAAACTGAGTCAAGCGATCCTCGGCACATCATCCCCAAAGCAAGACCCTGAGCTGGAAAAAAAACAAAGCACACAAACACAAACACAGAAAACACCCCAGATTTTTTTTTCCCCGAGGGTTTTCGGAAAGCAAACAAACAAAAACAAAAGAGTGCAGAAATAAGTTTGGGTTGCCTCCCAAGAAGCAATATTTTTAACGTCGTTAGCCCAACACAACTACCCCATAGGCTCTCAAATAGCAAAGACTGCAGTGGTGCACTAATAATCAACGTCACTAACAAAGTGTCGCAAACCTTTAAATTCTCGAGTCCACATAGGCATCACATGATCTTCATAACCCTCATTAGCACAAAAGTGAAGTATGAAACTCTCATCCTCTTCGGGCGAACAGAGAATATGAGTGAAAACTTTGATTACTTTAGGTGTCACTGGAAGCTCAAGAGATGTTTCAAAGCAAGGATTAGGAGCAACACCATAATCGAACTGCACCATGGAAAAGTCTTCATCTTCCTCACAAATATCATGAAAATCACAACCTCTCTTCTGGACTCTGTATCACTCCCCATGAAGGCATCCCAACTCTCGTTAACATAGTTCTTAGTAATATCATCCCGGATGATGTTGTCATTCTCCGCATAAAAAGATATATCATCATCAAGGAGTGAATCAAAGACATCCAAATCTGAAATCACGTGAGAGTGAATCGGTGCATGTGTACAACAGGGGAATTCTTGCTTGTGGAGCAGGACTTCTTCATTATGGACATCATCTACCTCGCCCCCACTCTCTTGGAGCATGTAATCATCTTTTCCCAACTCATCTTCAATACCCAAACCTACCTCAGTAGCACCATCATCATGACTCATCTTCTCCTTGCCCTCCTCAGGTGTTGAGACTAACGGTAAATCAAACGGCTAGGGGGTTTCTGTATGAAAATCACAGTGATTTGTGACTTCATCAGTTACAGTTTGTACCGTTTCAAACTTTTTCCTGTATTCTTGGAAAAACAACTCGACACTACTGTTTTCTTGTTCATCTTCAAACATAGGTGGCTCTTCAAATGCATCAGGAAGTGTGTCATCCATCATATTCTCACCATCATAGTCTGACTCGCTCACGTGATCATCCCTATTGGTCTCCTCGGTTTGGTCTTCTACCAGATGGCTCCTTATGGTATTTATATGCTTCATTATGTTTGAAGTGCTCTGCTCCATAGCTGAATAGCTCTCCCTCATATACTCTAGGTACTTAGACAAAGTTTCTGAAAGTGTCTTCTTACACTGATTATGTGGCTCATTACTTGGCAAGGATGTAGGATTGGCTAAAACATTTGTGTTTGTAAATTGTGGGGAGGGAGAAGTGGGGTATGCAGTTGCCCAGTAAGGATGGTCATATGTAGGTTTAACGTGGCATAAAGATATATGGTGACATCCTCCACAGAAGGAACAAATGCTATTCTTAGGCAGAAAGGGTTGCGTGGTTGGAGGATATGAATAAGGCGGCTGAAGATTTGGTGGTGTTGGAGAATAATTTTGATGAGGTGTGTAATATTGAGGATGAGTGTAAGGAGGGTATGGCGTATATGGTGAATATTCCATGGAGGTTTGAGGGTAAGGAATTCCTCCAGGAATTTGACAGAATGGGTTCATCTCATGCCTCTTAGAAAAATACCCGAAAGGTTAGCACAGAAAAATCCTACAGAAAAAAAAAAGAAAACTAACTAAAAAAACATTTTGCTGAAATTAATTAACCCTTAAAACTGACAACGTCCCCGGCAACAGCGCCAAAAACTGATGTGAATTTTCTCGCACTTAAAAATGATGTAGTAAAGTGGTTGAAGTACGAGCATCGTCTCCTCAGGGACGGACAAAGGGGAATTAAATATTAACTAAATTCTGCGATTAAAAAGAAATAAAATAAAATGCAATTGTGCGAGTATGATTGGTTTGGAAAATAAAACTAATAATGCGAATGAACGATTTAAATAAAGATTGGTTTCTTCTTAAACAACGACGAAGGGAACATGGATTGATTCCGGGGTAACCAGATTTCTGCCAGAACAGGCCTAATTACATGAAATTGATTTAATTGAGCCTAGCTAATCATTACTAAGTTCTACAATCTTATAAGAGCGAATATTGTTAAGGGTATAATCGTCATACAAAATGTGTTGGTGTCTCTTACTGCATAAAGTGGTTGTACATCATGTATGGTTTTTTGTGCTTTTAAACTTATGTTAGCTTGTGTTTAACGGTGAGTAGCTTTCCGTTAACTAAGCCTTCCGCTTATTCCCGTCATTCAGCCCTATCGTTTCATCTCCTCTTCTTCGTTCAAACACACAGCAACTCCGCCCTCTTCCTCAAATTCTTCCCGATGGTGTGCTTCTGTTTTCTTTTCCCTGCTTCCACACCTCAAGCAATTAGTCTTCACCCGCGGCTGCACAATTTTATCAACAATGACTGAATCTAATCTGGATTTGGGGCTCCTGGGTTTGTGGGCGAGAAAGCTTCGAGCTTCTGAAAGCTGAGTTTCGTAGGAAAACTAAAGCCCCGAGAATAAAAATACAAAATTGCCTATAGTCTGAGATAGAAGCTCACGCAATCCTGAGAAAGAAGCTGAACACCTGCTCCTCTGTTTTGGTTTTTACATGTTCTATGCATTTTAGCATTGTCGGTGGCTTCCAAAATAATATGGGAAAAATAAGTAGTTTGCTCACCATGAATGTGGAGTGTCAAAGCGCAAGGTAAGTAGTAACCATCTCTCCCTCTTTTCTTTCACGAATTTACTATTTAGGTGATTACAGTTGACGAAGAGTTCCTCAATTCGCCTACTGACCCGATAGTCTAGGGTTTATGGCACAATGAAGAGAGCTCAATTTACGAACCTGTCTATTGTTCTAATCTAATTTCTATACATTGGATCCCAGTAAATTCATTTCAATCAATCCTTGTGGTATTCATCAATTTTTCCAAGATTGATGAAGGAAAAAGTATGGAAAAGAAGCTACGCACGCTCTGCCAGGAGGTCACCATAGTATGCGCTATTACTTTCTTTTTCTTCAAGTTTTGGTGTGGAGTGTTGAATATTTGAACAGCTACTAAAATGATAATGAAAGTGTTCAGCAACTTTCTGGTCGAGATACTTAAAGGTTTTGAGATGGTCAGAATAAATATAGTTTTCTGCTTTGCTCTCATGGACTTTTAGACCTTACTCCCAATTTTTTTTTATTTTGTTTAAGTTAAAAGTCCAACTTTATACCAGATTCCAATTACTTTAGCTAATTTGAGATAATTTTACACCAATGAATTAGCATGACTAAAACATTTCCTATTATTGGGACATTTTGATGATATCACTTTTCTTGAATTTGCCTTTATGGAAGACTATTTTAAATGGCTCTGTAAGTTTTAAATGTTCTACTAAGGCTGAAGAAATTGTTAGAAGTTTTGAACTCATTGTTCAACCTGTGAGGCTGGGAGACAAGATTATTCTCTGCCCTAAAGCTATAGGGAATTATACTTGTGTAGATTGCTATAGCTATGTCTTCCAGTTCTCTTTCCTTATGAGATTAGTTAATTAGCTTTACTAATGATTATCATTGTATGTTGTGTTGAAACATTTATTTACAACTCACTTGATGAAAGTTAATACACCTATCAACTGTCATCAAAACTCACTTCTCTGCCAAAAAAAGAGCGCAAACATAAAAAAAACAAATCGATTTTGTAGCCAGAAATGCGAGGTTTTAGAATAATAATAAAAAAACTTCAACTTCCCAGGAAAATGGGAATGAAAAAGAGCCTAATAAACTAAACCGTATCATGTATTTTCCTTCACTAAACCTTACAAAAGAGTTACAACAAGCTTAATGAACTATGAAACAGAGCTTGCACAACAATGTGGTGAGCGCTGAAAATCGAGTTTGAGTTCTTGGTTGTCATTGATGATTTGAGTTCTCTACTTTCTTTAATTCAAAATAAACTGAAAAATTGAATAATGAAATACTCCGTAATACGGAGTACTACGTATATGTTTATTTATTGTCAATTGATACATACCCATTCTTCAGCTTGCAAGCAATATGTTGATTTATTGAAATTTAAGTATAGACTTTAAAATCAAAAAACTAAAAATTCAATTTTGAGGGGAAGCTAAGGAGACTAATTTTGCATTTCATTTATGTCGTAATTGAACTCAAATTGGCTTCTTTATTTCTCCACATGTAATCTAGCCTATAAATACTTTTGATTAGGATTTCTTATCACTAACCAACTATGTTTGCAAATATTGTAGTCATCATATATTGACTCAACCTAAACCGATGAATTAATATCCCTACAATGTCCTTGGGCATTACCACGGACGCGCAACACGTGTTATAAAACTAGTACTACGCATATAAATAAACTAGTCCTTGCATCAGCACCGGTCCTGCGTACACATGTATTAAGCTAGCTAACCAGAAAAACTAATTAATTAATTAATTAGCTCAAAAACTCGATCAAATGGAAGGAGTTGATACATCAATCTTCTCTTCTATAAAAATTGCATGCCGTAGATGAGCGAAATTAAAACTGGGCGGATGAGTTATGGACGTAGTCTGTTGTGGATGGGCGGATTGCGGCGGGGTTGTGCGTAGTCCATACCCAAAACCTCTTCCACACCTCCCCGCCCCTCTTTCTTCTTTTTCTTCATCATCACCTTTTCTTCTTCCTTAGATGCCGCCGATAGGTCTAACGTTGAACGTGATCCCTGCTTCGCGCGCCGGAAAAGAATTAATTTCTGTTATTGTGTAAATACACACACACATAGCTAGTAATCAAGCTTCCTATCCAGAATTTCCTGATAGGGCCGCCGTCCGCCATCTCAATTTGAGATTAATTCGGGTGGAATTTTTTAATGAAATTTGTGAGCGTGTTTTTTTATGAAGTATAGATTGTGTCTACCAAAATTTAGTTTAAAATTCGAGTTAAATACGGAGTATATTTTTGAAAGTAATTGTGCAAATATATATATATATATATATATATATACATATACATACACGGAGTATATATAACACAATTATTTTAAATGAATTATCTAACTGACTTCCCAATTCAATTTTTAGCTGAAATTTGGTGCATAAAATCTACATTTCACGAAAAACAGATCCACTCAAAACCACTTCAAATGGAGGTAGCCAGAAGGCAGTTCTGTCCAGAAATTCTCGTCATTTTTTTAGAATATGAGTAATAAGAGAATAAGTTTTTTTTCTAAAATTAGAATAAGAGAATAAGTATGGTTGCACCTTATGCAGGGGCGGACCCAGGAAATTCATCTTGGGGGTTCAAAATATTTTTTAGGGGGCGAAAATTATTTTTTGAGGGGCTGAAATTTATTTTTCGTATATACTTCGTATATACTAAAAGAATACATAAGGTCCGCCCTTGACCTTATGTATAGGGAAAAGGTCAAAAAGCAATGACACTTTAATATACTTGTGCATTTTTAAACTACACTTTTGATTTTTTTTATGCATTATAAAACATAAAAGCTTATAAAAGTCAATGTCCAAGCTTCATGAGTTCATGGTATTTGATTTATTTAGAAAAATGAAAATAAGAATATTAAATTGAAATGTGATCGGAGGTAGTATATATTTTTACCTTGATTTGATGTTCTTGTTGCGAATATTCATGGATCGAAAATATGATTGTTGCGCCTTCAAGTTCACCTGAAAGACATCGATCGATTTGTTTAATTAATACTCTGATCCGTTTACAAATTAATTGATTAAACACAGAAAATCGAATGCATTCGTAAAGCCGGCCTGTTTAATTTGGTTGATCAGACTTGGATATATATCTCTATATAAGCGTAAAAAATACGCAATGGTCGGTTACTTTTT